CAAATGGCAAATAAATACATGAAAAAATGCTCATCATCATTGGTCAGTAGAGAAATGCAAATTAAAACCACACTGAGATACCATCTCACTCCTGAAAGAATGGCCAGGATCAAGAAAACCGACAACAAATGCTGGAGAGGCTGTGGGGAAAAAGGAACTCTCCTGCACTGCTGGTGGGAGTGTAGACTGGTACAGCCTTTGTGGAGATCTGTCTGGAGATTTCTCAAAAAGTTGGGACTGGAAATCCCATTTATTCCAGCTATTCCACTTCTAGGCATATTCCCAGAAGAACTGAAAGCATCATACCACAGTGATATATGTGCACCTATGTTTATAGCAGCACAATTTGTAATCGCCAGATCTTGGAAACAACCCAAGTGCCCATCAACTGAGGAATGGATAAAAAAGTTGTGGTATTTCTATACAATGGAGTATTATTCAGCTATAAAGAAGGATCACATTGAGATATTTATCAATAAATGGGCACAGCTTGAGACCATACTCATTAGTGAAATAAATCAATCTCGCATGTGTGAATACCGAATAGTTTCCCTAATGTAAATAATGATTCAAATATATAAAAATATGTGGTAATCATGATTCCCCATTAGGTGGCCTTGAAGCCTTATAAAGTTTTCACTCATTAATTAGAAAGGCTTTATTCTGGGCTTCTTGATATGAAAATATTTGAAGCTAGAGTATATGAAGTTTTACCCAAATATTTCAAGGAAAAAGACACTATGGTAACTACTATTAAGTCAGGTTATAAGGTGGTGAAGTACTAGGTTGTTGAAACAGTCATGCTGTGACCTCTATTGTTATATTGTTATGTCCTGTTTTATCTCAATCTCCCCCTTATTGTTTCAAAAAAAATTATTTAGTCATTTCTTATGTTTGTCTTAATTAAAGAAAAAATTCCAAAAAATTAGGATATATAAATAGTAACTCTTTTCGATTTCCTATTAACTTGTTTTGAAGTCCTGTAGTACTCCCACGATCTTGTTTTGACTGATTAGACTCTGTTCCATTCTATATGATAGTATCAAGTTTGAAGACATAGGCAACTACTTTGAAGACAATAAGATTCACTAAGATACCCATTCTGGTTTGACTATTGTCTTCTTTGGAAGTCCTGTAATGTTTACAATGCCTAAGTTTTATTGGTCTTGTTCTCTACTGTTTTGTCCAACTTTATAATATCTAATAAGATAGACAATTCTTTTTAAGGAAACAAGGGACAACGTTGATAACCATTGTTGATAAACTTGTACTCTGTTCTACACCATGTGCTATGTCTATGCTTGGTACTGACTGACAGCTTTGTTTTGCCATATTTGACTGTATTCTCCCCCCCCCAAAGAAAGTAATAAGCACTAAGGAGTAATAAAATCCAAGATGTGTAAATTTTGTTGTAAAAAAGAGAGGGAAAAAAAAAAAAAGAAAAAGAGCTCTAACGGATATAACAGCAAGTGTGTTTGGGGGTGTTAAATAGCTGACTTTATCAATGTTTTTGGAACATTGAACACAGCTGTTTGCAGTCTCCCTGTTTGAATGTCCACCTTGTGGTCTTTGATACTGTGATTTGAGGAACTATTTTCAAGAAGATAGTGTGTAATCTACTAGCAGGTAATTTCTTACTGTTATGTTTTTTTGTTTTGTTTTGTTTTGTAGTTCTGTATTGCGTGTACCCTTACGCCGCTTTGGTTTGTTTTATGTTTTTCTCTTTTTCCTCTTAAATAAAAAAAAAAAAAAAAAAAAAAGAAGATATAAATGAGAATTTGAAGAATGAAACGTAGTTTAAAAAGAGCCAAAGTCTCAAGTTAGGAGACAAGGCTGATATTAAAATAATCTCCAGAATATTAAAGTCCCCACTCTGTTCAAGAGCTGCAACCCCTCTGCTCAGACCTTCTAAACCAAAGGCAGAGAAACAGTGAAATCGCCAGCCATCTGTTTCTCCTGGAGTTACAAAGCCAAGGTTTCCCTCAAATGTTCCTTTTACTTTCTCCTTAAGGACAGAAACTACACAAAGATAAATAAGAAGACAGAGAATTTAATGACCACTTGCTCAGAAACTATCTCTGCTCCAACTCTTAAAACTCTGCCAGTTAATATTCACTTATTTAAAAAGTAAAAACAATGAATAAGTCATTTGTAACTTGCTATAAACTAGGAAGATTTGAACTCTTATCATTCACCAAATTTTTACTAAACACAATGTGTTAACATGCATTATCAAATTTATCCCTCTCAATTGTGAGGAAAACTATCATCAACAAAAAATGATAAAACATACTCAAACCACCAGTGGCCAAGAAGTCCAGAATTCAAATATTGATTCCAACAATCACTATTTCTTCCTACATTATTTCTCTCAATCTCTCTCTCTTTTTTTTTTTTAAACAGGGTCTATGTGGTTCAAACTGTCCTTGGGCTCACTTTGTAGGGCAAGTTGGTCTTAAACTCACAATGAACCTCCCAAGTGCTGGGATTATAGGAGTATACCACCACACCCAGCTCCTACATTGTTTCTAAAGAAGAGAAAGATAAGCAAAGCAAAATATTAGAAGATATAGGGTATTTACTAATATTCAGAATTTATATGCAGAATCACTTTCAAATTCACAATCTTCCTCCAAAAAGTGACAAATTAGTAAAGAAGTTTACATCAACAAAATGAATTTCTTTCCCTGTTTCTTTGGGCTCTGCAAAGTAATTTAATTCACCCTGATGCTCAAAGTTACCTCCGGATAGGAAAAGAGTATCTGTGTATAGATCCTCCCTCAACATAGGGAAATATGTTCCCTCAAAAGTTAACCAGAATTCAGAGCTAAATTATCTGCTGTCAGTTAAGAAACACCAGTATTCCTTTCCATGGACTCCGCTAGTACTCCAAAAGAGAAGCTGGGAACTCCCTTTCCCAGAATCCCTTTCCCTAAATGTTCCCAATTAAGAATTTTTCAGTGAGAAGAACATGTATAAATATTAGTGCAACAAGTTAAAGAAAACCATTACCATCCAGATGCATTTGAACACTGATAGACATGAGATGCACAGTGGCTTCCTGCTAAGCTTCTGATAACCATCACACTGCTATAAACTGAGATAGCTTATGAAAGCATCTCAAAGATTCTTCAGAACTGCCAGAGTATCAGAGAACACTTGAGAAACTTACAACTCAGTGTCAAGATTTTTAGTGTTGGCTTCTCCAGCTTCTATGACTTTTGCATTCTTGGCCTTTCCACAATTCATTTGAGCTTGTAGTTTTTATACTAATCTTTCGTACTCAGAATTTATAGAGTGGATTTGTCACTTTCTGACCACATCTTGCTACCAATATACTCGTAATTTCAGTAGACAAGGTAGCTCACGGGGGAAAAAGTCTTGAAGGAAATTTTGTAGTAGTTCTTTCTTAAAACTAAAGACAATAAAGTGATAGAATATTGACAGTCTTGGAATTCAGTGGCAAAAGTTACTTGAATTATCACCCTTAGCTGCCTGAAGTATCAGCAAAGCTCTGCCCGACCAAGCAGCTTTATCAATGAACTACAGGGTGAAAATCCTATGAAGCCTCCTTTGCTACCAAAAGTAATTCTAATCTCTTGTAGGAGAAAATTGGCCACACAATTCCTTGAAGTCTATAATGACCTCACCTTACAAAGTCACTTTTGAGGAGAATACAGATCCTTCTCCAGACCACTTCACTACCAGCCCTCACTACTTCCAGACCCATAGACAGTCATAGCCCCATAGACACCAGAGGAAAGAGTATAAATCTAATCCAAGAGCAGCTGCTATTCACACAGAAAATGTTGTAACATTTTTCCAATTTTTATTGCCAGATAAAAACATGTACTAAAGAATCCATGCTGTGGTTTGGACATAGTTCAAGTGTGTTCCCACAGGTTCATATGTTAAAGCTTCATCCTCAAGGAAGCAAAGCTGGGAGATAGTAGAACCTTAAAGATATAGGGTTAGTGCAAGGTAAACAGTCATTGGCAATATTGTCCTCAGAAAGGATTAATGCTGGCCTCACACTGTGAATTAGTTCTCCAGAGCAGACTGCTATAAAAGTACAAGTCTGGCTCCTAAATCCTTCTCCAGCTTTCTGTCTTACCACGTGATCTCCACCCCTGCATGCATTCCTGCTGTTGTTGTACCTTACCTAGGGGTGACCTGACCAGAGGACAAGCCCATGGGGCCTATTAATATTGGACTTTCAGATCCCAAAAATCATAAGCTAAATACACTTTTTTAAATGTCTTCCCTAACTGCAAAAACCTCTTTTCTTTATATATTACCCCATTTCAGATATTTTGTTATAGCAATGGAAATTCTAAATACTTCATATAAAGGGAATCATACAGACTTTCTGTATATGGCATCTTTTATTCAGCATGTTTCTGAGGTCCAACCACATTATAACATCTATCTAGACTTCATTTATTTTTTATGACTGAAATGTCACTGTATAGAAGCAACACCTTGTTTATCCATTCATCAGCTGATGGACACTTGGGTTGTTTCTAACAACCAACTCTTCCCCACTATGAATATTGACATTGTGAACTAGTAACTAGTTAATAAATACCTAATTACCTTTCCATACTCTCTCAGGTAACTGATCTAGTTAAGTTTTAATGTCTTTGGAGCTCATGTCACAATTTATACATTGTGTAGAAATCTGTTTCTCCTGGATTTTCAAATTAGTTGTCACAGAACAGCATATAATGCAGTCTTAACTCTTATAATCATTTCCTTATCAGTGGTTACAGATTTTTTTCTTATTACAAATCATTCACATATACTGGGTGGGGGCCAGGGTCACAGGGCCTCACTGTGCAGCTCAAGCTGGCTTTAAATCTCAAATCTAGGCTGGCCTCGAATTCGTGATTCTCCTGCCTAAACCTTCCCAGTGTTGAGATTACAGACGTACACCACTGTACTCAGCTATTTTTGTTTTTCCTTTTCTTCATTAGTAATAGAAGAATTTAAAACCTTACCTAATTAGCTCTGCTAATTCAATCCACAGGTGATCTCAGAGTATGTTCCATAATGTCCAATTAATGTGGGTTTTTGTCATTTTGTAATTATTTCTAATTTAGTAGGCTGTAATCAGAAAATGTGATGTGTAAAACACTATTCTTAATATGTGTCACTTTTCTATGTCCATATAAATAAAGGAATGCAAGAATAAATGGCTACAAAAATACAGACACATAAGTACTTTATACATGTATTTGTATAATTATTTATTTATTATATGTTTGATCCCTCTGTCCTTTTTTCAATTATATCTACCCAATTCTGAAAGAGATACATTTAAATATCTCACACAATTATACTTTTATTAAATTCCTCTAACGTCACTGTTTTTCCATTATAAATTTGGATGCCACATTATGTGACACAAATGTTTTGTTATATTTTTGTGGTATCTTATTGCCTAATATCCCTCTTCAATTAGATGGGACCTATTATCTTTAATTTATTTAATATAACATTGTCATTCCTGTTTTCCTATTTTTCTTTGTATGTTTGTTTATATGATTTTTATAAGAAACATTTTATAGGTCCATGTTTTTATATAAAATCTATATAAGCAATATAGTCTGATATTTTATATTTTCTCTAACATTTTGTCTTTTAATGTGAAAATGAACATTTAGTAAAAAACATACATTTTGTTCCTGCCATCTATGTTTAACTTAGTATTTTACATTCCCCTCTATTTTCTTTTCCTTATTCTTGCTAATTTAAGTTCTATTATTTTGTAAGTCTTGCTACATTCTGTCATTTCATTAATTACTCTCTACTGTTCTCTGTGTTCAAAATGAAAAGTTTCTTTACTGTTATTTTGAAAACATGTTACACATTCCTCTGTTTATACACACTGTTTTTCTCACTAAGATATTCCATTCACATCTACTACTTACCTTTTCTCAAATAAGATGCTAAAAGTTGGCCTAATGTCACTTGACCAGCAAATTCTAAGTCTGTCATAGGGGATAAACTAATAAATCACTTAAAAACCATCTAATAGCACAGTTTCTGGTACGCATACACACACACACAAAAAGACACAGCTATTCAATATGGGATAATCTAATCTTTAAAACTCCATTATTATTTGCCAAATTTATTTGACATTGTTATTCAATTCAAGCAAATACACCCTAGTTGAAAGACTAGCTTTTTAATAGCTCTATCATTATTTCAATGCTACTTTCATACTATTTGTACTTACCCTTCTCCAAGCTTCTCTAAGACATCAAAAACTTCTTCAGGCTGCTTAGTCAAACTGTCTTCACTCAGCTTTTTTAGCTTACTATTAAGAAAAAAGAAAGAAATACTTTCCTTATGATCTATAAAAATTTTAATTTTAAAGGCAATATAATCAGATAGTTCAAACATCAAATGATACACAAAGGTTTATACTGGTATATATTTGGTTTCCTACTCCTCCTGTGCCTAGCAATATCCCTCAAAATAACCTTTTATTAGTTTCTTATATATCTTTAATACAAATATGTACAGTCTTAGTTCTCCCCCTTATAATTCTTATAACATCTATAGAAGGTTTTGGGTTTTTGTTTTTGTTTTTGTTTGGGTACCAGGGATAGAACTCATTGACCTCACACTTGCCAGGCAGGCACTTATGCCACTGAGCTGCATCCTTGATTCTTAGTTCTCCCTCTTTTAAGGTACCACTTATTCAAGTGTCGGCTAACTCCATCAGTAGAGCATGAGAGATTCTCAGGATAGCATTTATACATATACTCCTTTATATATACACTGTTATCGTAGTATAACTACCATAAATCACTCATACCTATACAGTAATTATAAAAATCATATTATGGTGCATTGTACCTGGTATTACTGTATGTTATAGAAATACCTACAAAATAATAGTCTACCTTTATCACTTTTGCTCTCTACAGTTTTAGTTCCCTAAGGTTAACACCTGTCCAAAGACATTAAATGGAAAATTCCAAAAATAAACAATTCTTAACTTTTCAATTGTATATTTCTCTGAGTAACATAAAGAATCTCATTCCAACCCTCCCAGGATGTGAATCATCTCTCTGGCAGAACATATACACTGTACATGCGCCCCTGTCCATCAATCACATACTACACATCTGGATTACAGATTAACTGTGATATATCAGTGTGTGTATTCAAGAAGCCCATATTTTACTAAATAATGGCCCTAACCCATAAGAGCAGTAATGCTGCTGATTTAGATATCCCATAGTGTTCCCTTTAAGTGAAAAGATGAAAGTACAATGAGATATTTTCAGAGGAGACCACAGTGTTATTACTGTCAACTGTTGTAACTCTTCTAATTTTATTATTGCTGTTCATCTCTTACTGTGCCTGATTCACAAATAAACTTGGCAGCAAGTGTGCATGTATAGGGAAAACACAATATATATATGGGGTTCACAGTTTCACACATTCACTGGAGATCCTGGAATACATATTGCAGGAGTAAGGATTGATTACTGTATTAACAGGTATTAGCAAACTGCCTCAGTAGCATTTCTACCAATTTATTCTCTCACAAATAATACAAGAGAACCTCATTTCTTAGTTTCACTAACAGAGTGAAATTAGTAAATAACTTATGAAAAGATATTATGAATACGCCCCATGTACTCAGAGACGACAAAGTAAATAGATGAGGGGGAGTTAAAAGGAAATTTGAGAAAGAAGTAAGCTATCAGAAATAAAATTGTCACTGGATAGGATTAAAAGTAGATTAGATGATATAGCAGAAAAGATGAGCCACTGTAAGAAGAAAAATTTAAAGAAAAAGCCTGAGTTTCAAATGAAAAAGGAAGAGAAACGGATTGGTACCTGGGAAGGGAAGAAAAACAGGGAGGTCAAATATTCTCCAAATTTTATGAAAACAATAAACCAAAAGATGCAACAATTCAACAAACCTGAAAAGACAAAAAAGAAGTGGGAGGGGACTAGAGAAAGTACAAAGGAAAACAAGATGTATCATAATCAAAATACAGAACAATAGTTAGAAAGAACACTACAAGTAGTCACAAGGAAAATCTATTACTTACAGAAGGATAAAAATAAAGATGACTACAGACGTTTTGTCCAAACAAGTCAAATTACAATAATACTCTTGAAGTGACAAAGAAAATAACAATCAAACTAAAATATTAATAAAGCCAATGGAAAATTCCTCAAAACTCACAGGTTAAAATTTAAAAACATCCAAAAAAAAAAAAAAAAGGTGAGGTAATTTGTTGTGTACAAACTTTCACAACAATGAGAGCTAAAAAGGAAAAAGCTTTATCTAGAAAGAAGTTATGCCCAAAGAAAATATGAAATAATCAAGAATAACAGTAAAAATAAATCTCCCCCAACAACAGCGCAATACACTTTTTTCTCACGAACACATAAGAACATTCAGCAAGATAAATAACATGTTAGACCACAAGACAAATCTTAACAAATTTAAGACTGTAATCAGACAAAGTATCTTCTCTAATCTTAACAGAATAAAACCAGAAATGAATACCAGGAAAAAATAGGAAAATCCACAACTAGATGAAATTGAAATAACTCACTCTTCACAAAAGGATCAAGAAGCAATCACAGACTTCCGGGAGAACATGGCAGACAGATAGCAGCAGCTATGGAGGCTCTCTGAAAGACCCAGCTTAGAATCCAGGAATGGTGCAGAGTGAGGAATCCTAAGCATGAGAGGAGATATGCCCTGCTGACCCAAGAACGAACTGGGCTGAGAGAAACCAACTGGGAATGCAATCCTGGTGCTATAACAGGAACAGATAAAGCGTCAGCGTGGAAGCTGGAGCCCACACCACAGGAAACCGCACTTTGGATTTCCTGCCACCGCGGCTGCATCTGAATGGACTCAGCAGGGAAAGAGACGCGCAAAAGCGCTGAGAACAGGAATCGGTGAACGGAGTCAAGAGCTGGGCGAGCGGAGAGCCGTGCATCAACCTCCGGTGAGTGAGGGAAACTGGGACTCTCCCACGGACTAGGAGGCGCCAACAGAGGACATTCTGGGACCGGGCAGGCTTGCTGGAACAGGGCACTGTAGTGACTTCAGTCATATATCCCCCTCTCAAGCAGGATTGATGAGCAGTGCCTAGCCTACGTGACGCTGCTGGCTGAGACCCAGTAGGCTAGCACAGCCCAGGTCCCAGCGCCTGAAGGTGACATGGAGGGGCGGGCCCTGCATAGGCTGCCAGGTGGGTAACTCCCTGGTGCACTGCAATGGGCGGGAACACCTAGCCGGCGCAATTCAATCAGACTGTGGCCAAAAGGGAAGGAAGCTGGGCCTCCTATATACGCTTGCATATATAAGGAAAAAAGAATATGGGAAGAAGAAGCAACAAGAAAGGCCTCTCAGCCTCCAATCCTGAGAAAGAGGCAATAGCAGACACCGCACCAATACACATAAAGAGCTATCTCCAGAGCCTCATAGACGAGTTCAGGAATGAAGTTATTAATGACCTGAAGCTTAGACATAAGCAGCATAATGCTAAGCACCACCCAAGAAAAAACAGATGGTGGAATGGAAGAACAGAAAAAGAGGGGAGAATTGTTTGATGAAGAAAATAGAGAAAGCATAGAATACGTGAAGCAGGTTCAAAGAGATTGCCAGGAAACTAAAAACTATCAAAAACTGGCATAACAGCTTGAAAGAAACTAAGGATAGATTTCCGAACTGGAGGCCAGACTTATAATTTTTTAGCATGAAGTGAAAAACTTCTTAAAAATAACAAAGAAACAAACAACAATAATTCAAAGACTAGAAGATGATAAGAGGATCTATAACTTAAGAATTAAGAACATAAAAGAAGAGGTAGGGACACAAACAAATGAACTACAAAAGCTACTCACAGAAATAATCCAGGAGAATTTTCCTAATTTAGCAAAAGGTAAAGATACTCAGATGTATGAAGCATTCAGGACCCCAGCCACCTACAACCCAAACAGAGCTACACCCAGGCATATAATAATCAAAATACCAGAAATCCAATATAAAAACAGAATATTAAAAGCCGTCAGAGACAAGAAACAGATCACTTACAAGGGAACACCTATCAGAATTACAGCAGCACAAACCATTAAATCACGAAGAGCATGGGGGGAAATAATTCAAGCTTTGAAAGATAATAACCTCCAGCCAAGATTGATATATCCTGCACAACTATCCCTGGAAATTGATGAAAAAACAAGGTGCTTCCAGGATAAAGAGGAACTAGGGGAATTTGCAACCACCAATTCAACTCTACAGAGAATACTGCAGGATATTCTAAAAAAGAAAAATACGAAGAATCCAGAAATAGTGGCAGAGAGGCCCCATGAATGGAGCAGAAAACAAAATGAAGAAGACAAACTGACAACTAATGACAGAAGAAGAGCTCAACAGAAATGAGGCAGAGAAGATTGGATGATAGGAACAGCTATTTCGGACAAAACGACATCATAATAGGTAATGCTGATTTAGTATCATCTTGTTTTGAAGTCTCATCAAGCTTTTGCTCTTCTGTCTCCATTGGTCTTAGCATGTTGTACCATATTGGATTTTATTATATGTGATAGTATAAACAAAAACTTTTATAGACAAGGAGATTATACAGAAACCATTGTTCATTTTCTGTTAGTTGATTCTAAATACCCTGTAATACTGTCATTCTCTTGAATGGTTTTACATTGTTTTGATATATTTGATGCTACAGTATACAAAGTTATACTCAAAGATTTCAAGGAAAGAGATACTATGCTAACTACTTTTATGTCGGGATTATCTTGTGGTAAAACACTATTTTGCTTAAATGGTTATGTTTTTTTCTGCGGTGTTTTGTTGTTATGCCCTCTTTTATCTCAATCTCCATTTTATTATTTATTTCTATTTTTATCCTTTTAATGAAGGAAAAATAAAAAATAGTAGGATATATTATAGTAACCCACTTTGATTTACTATTAACTTGATTTGAAGCCCTGTATTGCTCTCACCATCTTGTTTTGACTGATGTTCCTCTATTCTGTTTTGCTTGATAGTACCAGGTTCGAAAGTATAGGCAACGGCTGTGAAGATAGTGGGATTCATTATGATGCCCATTCTGGTTGACTGTTATCTACTTTTGAAGACCTGTAATGTCTCCAATGTTTTGGTTTTGTTGGTTTCGTTCTTTACTGTTTTGTTCAATTTTATTATAACTGATGATATAGGCAATTCTATTAGAGATGGCGGGAAGCATTATGGTAACCATTGTTGATTACCTTGTATTATGTTTTTACATTATCTGTTATATCCACCCTTTT